AGTAATGAATTATAAACCACTAAAAAATATAAGAGCTCATGAGTCTATACCAATCGTAAATAAATGGGGGGAAGAGGGTTTCACTTACTGAATGCCAAACAGTAAATATAGAAGGGCTAGAGTTAGAAAATCATCATTTTGAAACCATCATAGTAAAGACTGGTTTAGGCAACAATTATCAATGGGTGCTAAACCTAGGAGACATTTTTGATGAAGACTGGGACATTTACATGGTCGCAAAGTATTTTCCCACAGATTGCTTACTACCTGTAAGGTTAAAGATAGCAGCTATACAGTGGAGACACCGAACAGTACCTTGACTGGGTGAGTGAATCACAATTAACATCAACACTGAGAGGCTGATGGTCATGTGTGCTTCCCAGTGTAAAGCCCTGAGAAGTACACAGTACCACTTACATAGTATTCTGCCTGGGAATATGTACCCTGAATCTCACCATGAAGAAACAGCAGGCAAACCCAAAATGAGAGATGTTCTATTAAAAAAAGCTGTGGATGGGAAGGTTGGGGGTGGAGGGATGTGGTATTCAAAAATGTTAATATCATTAAAAACAAAGAAAAGCTGTGAAAATGTTCCAGGTTAAAAGAGTCTAAAGAGACCTGACAACTAAATGCAATACCTGATCATGGAATGAATTCTGTATTGGAGGAGAAAAAAATGCTCTTATAAAGGACACTATTGGATCAACTGACAAAACTGGAATATGTATGAAAGATTTGATTAAAGCATTGTATCAGTATTAATTTACTGAAGTTGATAACTGTGCTGTGGTTATATAAAATATCCCTATTCTTGGGAAATATTCATTGATGTTTATAGGGGAAAAGGACCGTGATGTCTGCAACTTACTCTCAAATGGTCCAGGAAAAATCTTTTAATTTCCAAATTAAAAATTAAAAACAGTACCTGGAGACCTTCTCTGATTTCATGGTTTAGAGGAAGGCCCAGACATTCTATTTTTGAAAAGCTTCCCAGGATTGAGAGCTGCCTAGAGCAGGGGTTCTCAGAGTGTGGTCCTCAAACCAGTGGCAACGGCATCTCCTGGGAACCTGTTAAACACGCACAGGCCCGCTGCCTCAGCACTTCCAGGGATAGGGCCACAGTCTGTCTTCCCATGCCTTCCATGGAATTCTGATGCCCACTAAAGTTTGAAGCCGCTGACCTAGACTATGAGCTCCTACATTCTCTATTTCTAGCTCCTATAGTCCCACAACACCTAGCAAAATGCTTTGTGCCTAGCTATATCTCAATAAATGCTTGCTGACCTTAGTTCGACAGTGAATGATAAGGCAGAAATGACCACTGAGGTACTTGGAGATGATAAACTACTCTACAGATCCCAGCTAAAGCATCCCTCTGAGTTTCTAAAGTGAATACAAAATTTATTTTGAAAGCAATAAAGGAAGTCAGATTACTCAGGAGGTTAGTAAAAGCACTGTTGTCCCCAAAGGGAGCATATCAGCTTACAGTTTGTTAAGTCATTGTCAATTTAAAATATGCGATAACTTATACAAGCTATTAGACTGGTACTTAAAAATTAATTCAGTGGTTCTGGGAAACAATGCATAGCGATTGAAAAGCCACGCCATGTGTATTGTGCAGGACCTGCTCAGAACACATAGCGCTCACATGGCTGTGATGGGGCCAGGGCCCAGGTCTGACTAGGACGGCCAGATCTCAGAAGAACACTCTTTAGATGGCATTGGGAGAGACAAGACTCCTACAATGAGAATGGGCTGATCAATTTGCCTACTGAATAGAAAATGAAACAAGTAAATCCATTATTATGCAATTGTTTTCTATCTTGAGAGGTTAAACTGTTGAAAATACTCTAGGACAGAGGGTATCATCCCAGCCTCACCACATGCCTTTCCTAATTGGCACCCTGAAAGATTTCACAGGAAAAGGGTGTTACTTTGGTATTGTTGATTTAAAGGTTATCTTCTCACAGCGAGGCAGAGGAGAATTCATCTTCAAAATTCACCTACTTATTGAAAAGCCATGGAGTGTCTTGGCAATTAACAATTCCTATCACCTCTAGCTGTTCCCTATGTGAGAAGGCTCAGAACTCGTCTTACAAATTGCTCTTTTGAAGATCAAAGGGAGGCTGAAATGTGTCTGTGCGTGCTCTCCATGAGACTGTAATTTAATGGAATTTTTAGAGAAGGCTTGCTGGCAGTATTTGGATGACAGCCCCGGGGCAGAGGATTCAGGGGAGCTTGGCCATTCTTCCCTTTGGAGCATCTTCCCTGTCTTTAATTGGCACCTCATTAGAAATTAATGAAAATGACATCCTCTGTTCTTCCTGCTCTAGGCATCGAATGCTACAAAAAGGCCCATCACAATTCATAACACATTCAATTTATATAGCAATGGCTCTTAAGCATTATTTATGAGATGTGAATTTCTTGTCAGCAGTTAATAACCTGTACAGAGTGGAAGGGGAATGGAAAAAAGATTGTGAATATGTGTGTGTGTATATATATATATATATATATATATATATATATATATATATATATATTTCACCCCCCCCTTTCCCCCACAGTGGAGAAGTGTTCTGTTTGAGTTCAAACTACCTTCTTGAGTCTTCACTTTCAGTAGTAAATGACTGTGTTTCCCTCCATCTAAAACCTTTCAGGGCGGTTAAAGGTCTAACACTCCAGATGCGTCCTCAAGGAAATAACTCTCCACTTCATCCTTTCCTGGAGAGATCCAAGCAGACAGGCAGGAGAAACACAAGAGCTATCTGTCACAGACAGTCCCACCGGCATATGTCTCCACTGCTGTCCCTCCTCTTCTGCAATGTGGCAGTTGCCTCAGTCATTTTTCTGGCATGTACGTGTAATGCTCTCAATGGGCCAAACTGAGCTCCTGGCTCTCTGGGAAGGCGACATCTGGAGGTACTGAAGAAAGCTCAAAATGTCCTTCTCCACCAGAAAAATCAAATCTCTCCATATGCAGACCCTCGGAATTGGGCACAAGCCAAGAGACTATGAGTGAGATCATTTAAAAAGGATGCACGTCTGTGGCTAACCCAATGGGCACTTAGAAATCCAGCCACCTGCCCAAGAGGTGAAGAGAACAGCAGAGTAATCCATACTTATCAGAGACAATCAAGCTGGCTTCACTTTAGGAGCAGGAAGATAGTCATCGAACATGTACTTCTAGATTTTTTTCCAGCAGTGCCTAAGACCTTAGGAAATTAGGTGCTTTGCATCGAAACGGAAGGTAAACGGGAGACTTGGTTACACCACCTCTGGATCTCTCAGCGCTAAACTGACTGTGAACTCTTACTGCTCACCTGACAAGGAGAGGAGATATTAGCCACTGCCAGAGGCAAGACAGCACACTTAATGGACCAACTGCCTGATCCACTAAGGCAAATCCTGTGTAATACCCCAGATTCAATGACTTTCAAGAAGGAAACAAGAACACAAGGTACTGGAAAACCCCATGATTCTAATTTAGGAACCACCAAAGGCCTGTGTTTGCAACAGGCGAAATGGTCAGTTAGGCTTCACAACACTGGCAACAGACGAAATCACTGAAATACCCCAACAGTTCCAAGGAAGACCAAAGCAAGTATTTGTACCACAAAAGATTAGATCAGGTCTTCCATATGGGCAAAGGTGGTTAGCCTCAGACCCAAGTTTCCTTGGCTAACCACAGTGCTCCCTCCTTACCTCACCAAGAACTTCAAGTTACCTGGAAGGGTTGATCAACAAGCAGCCTAAGGATAAGATTCTGGGCTCACCTAGGACATGCCACATGCATGAACACAACTGAAGTTTGAAAACTCTGCTAACAGCCTCTGCCCCCGCCTCTTACCCCACACCTCTCTTCTTTGTCCTTTCATACAAGCATCTAGGAGGAAACTAAATGCAAGCTGAAAAATAAAAACTTGTCCGGTGACGCCTGGACTCCCCATGCTGGTCCCCATTTCTGCAGTGAAATACATGCTTCAGTTACATACCACACACCCGAGTGTACAAGAAACAGATCCCTGGTCGTGACAGGAGCAGGAGTTCCAACTTTGTTTCCATGAGAAACTGGTACTCCCACATTTCCATCAGGGCAGATGAGTGAGGAACAAGAGCAGGGACGGCTGTCTCATCAGACGATGAATGATTCGGAGTGACTGTTCACTTCCCAGCTGCCGAGAGAAGCATCTATCCCTGACTGCCGGCACTAGCCCTTGTGGGGTATGAGACTACCCCGGGGTGGAAAGGAGGCTTCTTAAACTAACTCCTAGGAACAAAGAATATATATACAGGATTCTCAGAGGCGAGACCTAGGCCTTGAAGGCCTTAAAGCGTAATACTGTGCTTTAAAATCAGGAAATCAAATCAGAGACAGGACAATTATAAATCAGCCTAAAGGAGGGGAAGGAGGGATTGATCTAAATTTCATTCTACTGTGTGTCCGCATCAAGTTTTTAAAAACACATCACTGGGCAGAGATGTGCAAAGAGCTGATATTACACTGGCTACTAAAGAGGAAAAGGTTACTTTAAAGCTATTTCCAAGGGGTTAACTGACAATGAATTACGGTTCAAAGAAAGTAATTTTCTAATCAAACTTTAATTTAAAAGGGATATGGCGGGAGAAATCTTCCATTTATTATACATAGTAAGAAGCTCATTCAAAATTAATTTAATATCTGAATTTTATGGTACATGGCCCAGAATTTTGCTGGTTTGGTTAATTTCTAAATAAGTCATCACTGAGAAGGAACCCAAGTAATGTGCAGTGGGGAGTTGAGCGCAGTAAGCAATAACAAGGCGGCTCTAAAGGAGTGTTTCCAAGCAGTGAGGGTGTGTGTGTCAGAAATCCTCTACTCTGACTTCTCAGGCTCCAAACCTACAGCTCACAGGGGCACTCAGAGGAAGACAAGGTACTTCAGCCTCCTAGGAATACTTTCAAAGCCATGCCAGGGGGTCAAGGACAGTCTCCACCCTGCCCCTGGGGGAGACGCTTACCGCAGCGGCACGATCCCAATTCCTGCTGCACCAGCTCCAGTTTGGTTTGGCACTGGAAGCACCGACGTCGACTCTTCTGTTTAGATCGGCTGGTTTCCTCGGATCGTTCGGTATTCTCCAGTAGTCGTGGCCGTTTCACTGGCGAATCCTCATTCTCAGACTGTGAATCTGACCAAAACAACACATTCAGGGGTTGGGGTTAGTGCCGGGCCTGGCAAGCACAGCTGATTAATGCACTGCCCGGCGCTCTTCTGCCCCGGCTATGCCCTTTCCAGGAGCTGGACCTGTGTGAGCAAGAGCCAGCTCTGACTGGCCTGGTTTATGCTGCACAAATTATTACAGGCATGAACTTCAGGGTGGACTTCTAATAGGCTAGGCCTGAGCCAGGAGAGGAGGGTGGGGGTGGCAACAAAAATCAGGTGTGTGCTGTTTTAAAAGCAGCTATCTCTACAGCAGCGGTTCTCAACCTGTGGGTCGCGACCCCTTTGGGGGTCGAACGACCCTTTCACAGGGGTCTCCTAAGACCATCAGAAAACAAAAAGATATTTACATTACGATTCATAACAGTAGCAAAATTACAGTTATAGAGTAGCAACGAAAATAATTTTATGGTTGGGGGTCACCACAACATGAGGAACTGTATTAAGGGGTCACGGCATTAGGAAGGTTGAGAACCACTGCTCTACGGGGAGACCATGCAATCTGGAAATGGGATCCTCTCTGTCTGTACCCCTTCTTTAGGACCCAGCTTTTACTGGTTATCTACCTCTTGGATATTTGTATCCTTATGTAAATGTAATTCTTTAGAGAAGGGACTATGTCTATTATTCTTTATATTGCCATGGTCAGCATAATTCCACACCTAACGCCAGTGTTTGGTGGGTGATCCATAATCTTTTCTAGTAAAAACACTCATATTTCTACTTTAAACACATAAGAATCAGATTCCACCTTTATTCAGCGCTAAGGAGTGTCCCTGCTTGTTCCCCAGGGCGCTGCCCCGTGGCCTCCACCGTGCAGTGGCACAGAGGCAGCCAGCACTTGGAACCACACCCCCAGGATTGGTGCCAAACTGGCAGGTAGAGGGTGCAGTGTGTGACAACTTGTGTTCCGTATAACCTTAAAAAAGTAACTAAATGCCATCAAGTTCATGTCATAGTCAGGCTGTAAATAACTCTTGTCTTACAAAAAAGTCAGCCCCTGGGGCTCTGTACGCCACTGCACACTGAGGAGGCACCTCTTGCCAAGGTTCCTAAGTGGTTAGGGCTAACCCACCTCTGGGAGGGCGTCTCCCGGATCCTACCTCCTCTCAGTCCTCCACCACTGCCATGCTGGCCCAAAGCATCACCGTGTCATCTAGCCTGGTCTAACAGCCTCTTAACTGGTCTCCCTGCTCACCTCCCTGCCCCTACAGTATATTCTCCACATCGCAGGCAGCCAAGTGATCCTGTTAAAAATCAAGCTAGAATTCCTTCAGCTCCCTGCTCGAAGCCCTTTAATAGCTCCCCTTCTCCGAATAAAAGTTCAGATACTTAACCATGACCCTCAAAAGGCCCTGCATGATTTGCCGCCTCTCACCCTCTCACCCCATCTCCTGCTGCTCTCTGCCCCTGCTCCATCCACACTGGCCTCATTATCCCTACCTCAGGGCCTCGGCGTCTTCGGTTCCCTTTCTCTGGGATGCTCTTCACCCAGATCTACATGGACTCTAACCCCTTTTAAGTCCTTTAAGTTACGTTTTCTTTTTTTATTTTTCAATGACAGTTGGCATATTTATATTACTTCAGGTGTATGACATAGTGATTGGACACTCATGTAATGTACTGAGTAATGGCCCTTTTCAATGAAGTCTGCTCTCCTGACCACCCGATAGGCGCCAATCCTGTCCCAGCTTCCGAAGCACTTCCCCTCTCTTTATTTGCCTTTCCTTCCTCCATAGCAATTATCTTTTAAAACTACCCCCAGGAGAATGTAAACTCCTGGAGGGTAGGAAGTTTCACCTGCTTTGTCCACTAATGATGTGCCTACAGCTCAGTATGCATCTCCTGAATGACTGGGTCTTCTCCTAGCAGTCCTGATTTTCTATTTAAAGTGGCCCTAGTGAGAAGCAGCAGACTGTGGGATGCACTTCAGCGAGGTTGTCCGCGTCCCTCTGCCCAGCCTCGTCCTGTGTGAAGAGGATACTGTGCTTCATCAGAGCACGCTACTGGTCCCGATGGTGACAGCGCTGACAGTTCGCTCACAGCCCCCAGCGCAGCGCTCTGTGCACTGACTCACAGAAGGCACGCACTCTTCTTCTTAGCGACTGTAAACTTTATTTTTCAACTCATTTAGTTCTCCCCGTCCTACATGACATTTCCCCCCAATACAAACCAACTAAACAAGGCCTTTGATGAAAACAATTGAAAGCCAGTTCAGCCTATTTCCCAGCTCTGCGGAGGGAAGCTGTCCAAACCCCATGGTGCGGTGACGGAGGCAGCCACAGACACGCCAGGCCCTCTCCCCCTTCCCCTAGGAGAACAACAAGCAACAATCTAAATGTAAATCATTACAAAGCACCAGCCAAAAATCATTCACCTTGCAGGAGCCACACTGCTCTCTAGGGGTCCTTTTCCACAAACCAGCAATGGAGCTATTTGTATTAATAACCCTATTTAGACATACTTCTTTTTTCTTTTTTTTTGGGTAACAAGGAGAGAAAATTCTAGAGTAGAAGCCGTTAAGAAAATGGTGTTTGTTCTGAGGCAAGATCCTAAATCTGGGGCATCCTTATGAGAAATTATCCCCCAAACCCGGGGAGAGGGTGGAGGAGGAGAGAGCAAGGTCCACACAAGAAGGGGAGGCAGCTGACTGCTTTGAATTGATTACACTGTTAACATCTGGAGGGCCTTGACATGCTGCCAGCACAGCCCTAAGGTAAAGCGGAGCACTCACACGGAAGCCTCTCATTCACAACACTATGATAGGGCTGAGCGTGTGTCTGGAAATGCAGGTCTCACAAAGCTGTTTTCCCCATGAATCTGTCAAATGTGCTGTCTACCTGCAGAGCACCCATCTCCATTTCTAAAGCAAACCTTTGCTACAAGGAGAAGACAATTTTTCTTCCAGCTATGCTCTCCATAGCTATTTTTAAATAAGCGAGGAGTGATGTGTGAAGAAAATATTTTTAAGTGTATAATTCCTAAGACTGGGAGACAATTCATATTTATATAATCATAATCATTACTGGTCATCACAAAGCAACCCACTTGATGGGGCACCCCCAAATGAGGAGGCCTGTCCAGGCCTGGTCTCTTTTCTTAATTCCCAACCTCGTTTGACTAATGAGCATTCAATAACAAAACTAAGGAATAAGTGTGCTTGATCTCCTGCTGAAATCTTCCTTGATCCATTCCACATTATACATTAAGGCTTCTGAGTTCTTTGTTCTGGGAGGCAGGAAGCACTGGACATTCCTGAAACCGTGGATCGTAAGGGAGGTTTCCGATGCTGCCAGCAGCTCTGGCTGCACTCACTGCCCATCCTAAGAGAACACCACTCAGTCTACTCAGTCCTCTGACAGTCAACGTGTTGGCATCTGTACAAGTCTAAACCCAAAGGCATCAGTGTATAGAGAAAGTCTGAGCCACGGGAAGCAGTCCTCAATGACTCTAAACCAAGACAGCCAAACTGTTTACTAGAACAGGTTGTTTCTTTAGAATCAAGGAACTGTCCCCAGACATTAAGAGATCCGTAAGTTTTATGCTCTGGAATATACCCACTTAACCTTCACTCAGTCCATGGTCAATTAAATGGAGAGGAATCCTGTGCCCTCTAATGCTCCCTACCACAAGGAGGGAGGGGAAACAGCTCCCTGAGCTGTTTACCGCCCTCCACTCGCTGCCATCAGGGAGGTGGTTGTTATATATAACTTCTCAGTGAAGCAAACCATTCCCTGGCATTTTCTCACAAGTCAACTTAGTGTTTTAATTAGAGGCTAATGAAATAAACAGCAGTCTACAGGATCATCATCAGGTCTGCATAAGAAATTTACATCTCCTTTGCTAATTACTTAATGAAACTTTGTGCCATGGGGTGAGCTGCCTAAATAAGAGAAACAGATGCCCAGGACCTGGATTCTAATTATATAATAATGAACTAAATAATTCAACTATTCAATGAGGATTTTAATGTCAATTAAAAAGAAGACTACCAGAAAGAAGAGATCCAAATATGATCCAACTGAAGGAACCCTCATCTATTGTCCATATTTGAATAAATTAAACTTTGATTCTTTACTTTTTGCTCACAAACATAATTTCTGTTACTCTGAGCACTTTTCACTTCCTCAATGGAACGGTCTCCTTCATAATCTGAACTTGGGCAGTAAGGGTTAAATATGGAGAGAAAGGTGAACAGAAATAACTCTCACATGCAGCTTTAGCTGTCAGAAGAACCGGTCCTTGCAAGGAGCATGCTCATTCGCAGCAGGAGGAGCTGTAGTGGCAAAAGCTAGAAACTATTCCCACCCCAGGAGTTAACAGTGACTTCTAATTAAGGTCCTTCATGAAGGGCCAACAAAGCACTTTTTTTTTTTCAGTATATGCTGTTTTTTGAGAACATAATCTGATCTGCATATACCCACACAAGAGCTACCATACTTCCATGCCAGGTCCACAGTTTTGGGTGCTCACCAGACACCCTCTTCCCCTGCCTATGTTTAATTGATTGAGAAAAAGACCACATCAGATCTTCTAGTCAAAGGAAAGTCTGATCAAGAATTATAAGGTGATTAAACAAGAAAGGAAAATCTTAAGAAAAAGTATTTTACCTATCAGCTTCCTAAGGTTTGCAAGTAATGACTACTTAATTTGTGACACAGAAAAAAAGTACAGTGATTTTAAAACATCATCCTCTGAAGAGAGAAATTCTTCTAATTATACTTTCCTGGCCAATCGCAGAAAGTAGTGGTAAGACTTTCAATTTAGAAACGCAGTTTAACTGGAAAGCTTGACTGGAGACAACAAACAGAGCTACTTATTTTAAAATTCTGTTTTGTCTCTGACAGAAATTCACATTTGTTCCTTACTGTCACTGTTCTTGTCTTTATTACTCATGTTCTCCCCCAGAAATTTCCAAATAAATTGTGTCAGGCCTGTCAGAGTTGAACCTCAATCTCTCTTAATCTC